CTTTCAACACGACTTAAGTGTCCAGTGCTGTGACGACCATTAGAGGGGCCCTGCCTCCAGCCAGGTGGAGGTAGGGGACAATCGTATTTACGGGACTGTGTGGATCAGATGGCCTGGCACATCAGTCCCACAGAAGTATAAGGCTCTAGTAGATACCGGTGCACAGTGTACCCTGATGCCATCAAGCTGTCAAGGGGTGGAACCCATAGATATTTCTGGGGTAACAGGAGGATCAGAGGGTTGACTGTGCTGGAGGCTGAAATCAGCCTGACTGGGAGGGAGTGGCAAAAGCACCCTATTGTGACTGGTCCAGAGGCTCCATGCATTCTCGGCATAGACTACCTCAAGAGAGGGTACTTCAAAGACCCAAAAGGGTACCGGTGGGATTTTGGTATTGCTGCTTTGGAGACTGAGGAAATTGAGCAGCTGTCCACCTTGCCTGGTCTCTCAGAAGATCCCTCTGCTGTGGGGTTGCTGAAAGTTGAAGAACAACAAGTGCCAATTGCGACCACAACAGTGCACCGGCGGCAATATCGCACCAACCGAGACTCCCTGATTCCCATCCATCAGCTGATCCGTAGACTGGAGAGTCAGGGGGTGATCAGCAGGACCCGCTCACCCTTCAATAGCCCCATATGGCCAGTGCGAAAGTCTAATGGAGAATGGAGACTAACAGTAGACTATCGTGGCCTGAATGAAGTCACACCACCATTGAGTGCTGCCGTACCGGACATGCTAGAACTTCAGTATGAACTAGAGTCAAAGGCAGCCAAGTGGTATGCCACGATTGATATTGCCAATGCATTTTTCTCCATTCCTTTGGCAGCAGAGTGCAGGCCACAGTTTGCTTTTACTTGGAAGGGTGTCCAGTACACTTGGAACCGACTGCCCCAGGGGTGGAAACACAGCCCTACCATTTGCCATGGACTGATCCAGACTGCACTGGAACAGGGGCAAGCTCCAGAACACCTGCAATACATTGATGACATTATTGTGTAGGGCGATACAGCGGAAGAAGTCTTTGAGAAAGGGAGGAAAATAATCCAAATCCTGCTGAAAGCCGGTTTTGCCATAAAACGGAGTAAGGTCAAGGGACCTGCACAGGAGATTCAATTTTTGGGAATAAAATGGCAAGATGGACATAGACAGATCCCCACAGATGTGATCAACAAGATAACAGCAATGTCTCCACCAACTAATAAGAAAGAAACGCAAGCTTTCTTGGGTGCAGTGGGGTTCTGGAGAATGCACATCCCAAATTACAGTTCGATTGTAAGCCCTCTCTATCATGTGACCTAGAAGAAGAATGATTTTAAATGGGGCCCTGAGCAGCAACAAGCCTTTGAGCAAATTAAACGCGAGATAGTTCATGCAGTAGCCCTTGGACCAGTCCGGACCGGGCCAGATGTAAAAAATGTACTGTACACTGCAGCTGGGGAGAACGGTCCTACCTGGAGCCTCTGGCAGAAAGCTCCAGGGGAGACTCGAGGTCGACCCCTCGGCTTTTGGAGTCGGGGATACAAAGGATCTGAGGCCAGCTATACCCCAACTGAGAAAGAGATACTGGCAGCCTATGAAGGGGTTCGAGCTGCTTCGGAAGTGATTGGCACTGAAGCACAGCTCCTCCTGGCACCCCGGCTGCCCGTGCTGGGCTGGATGTTCAAAGGCAGGGTCTCCTCTACACATCATGCAACTGATGCTATATGGAGTAAATGGGCTGCACTAATTACACAACGAACTCGAATAGGAAATCCCAGTCGTCCAGGCATTCTAGAAGTCATCATGGACTGGCCAGAGGGCAAAGATTTCAGAATGTCACCAGAGGAGGAGGTGGTGCGCGCTGAAGAGGCCCCACCATATAATAAACTGTCAGAAAGTGAAAAGCAGTATGCCTTGTTTACTGATGGCTCTTGCCGTATTGTGGGAAAGCATCGGAGATGGAAGGCAGCTGTATGGAGACCTGGACGACAAGTTGCAGAAACTGCTGAAGGAGAGGGTGAATCGAGTCAATTTGCCGAGGTGAAAGCCATCCAGCTGGCCCTGGACATTGCTGAACGAGAAAAGTGGCCAGTACTTTATACTGACTCATGGATGGTGGCAAATGCCCTGTGGGGGTGGTTGAAGCAATGGAAGCAGAGCAACTGGCAACGCAGAGGTAAACCCATCTGGGCTGCTGCACTGTGGAAAGATATTGCTGCCCGTGTGCAGAACCTGGTGGTGAAGGTACGTCATGTAGATGCCCATGTACCCAAGAGTCGGGCCACTGAGGAACACCAGAACAACCAACAAGTGGATAAAGCGGCTAAGATTGAAGTGGCTCAGATGGACTTAGATTGGCAACATAAAGGTGAATTATTTTTGGCCCGGTGGGCCCATGACACTTCAGGCCATCAGGGCAGAGATGCAACATATAGATGGGCCCGTGACCGAGGGGTGGACTTAACAATGGACACTATTGCCCAGGTTATTCATGAGTGTGAAACATGTGCTGCAATTAAACAAGCCAAGCGGTTAAAGCCTCTTTGGTATGGAGGACGATGGTTGAAGTATAAATATGGGGAGGCCTGGCAGATTGACTATATCACACTGCCACCAACCCGCCAAGGCAAGCGCCATGTGCTTACCATGGGGGAAGCAACCACCGGGTGGCTGGAAACATACGCTGTGCCCCATGCCATTGCCCGGAACACCATCCTGGGCCTTGAGAAACAGATTTTGTGGCGACACGGCACCCCAGAGAGAATTGAGTCAGACAATGGGACTCATTTCCGGAATAACCTTATAGATATTTGGGCCAAAGAGCATGGCATTGAGTGGGTATATCACATCCCCTACCATGCACCAGCCTCTGGGAAAATCGAACGGTACAATGGGCTGTTAAAAACTACACTGAGAGCGATGGGTGGGGGAACTTTCAAGCATTGGGATACACATTTACCAAAGGCCACCTGGTTGGTCAACACCAGAGGATCTGCCAACAGGGCTGGCCCAGCCCAGTCTGAACTTTTACATATTGTAGAGGGGGACAAAGTTCCCGTGGTGCATATGAAGAATTTGCTGGGGAAGACAGTCTGGGTTATTCCTGCTTCAGGTAAAGGCAAACCCACTCGTGGGATTGCTTTTGCTCAGGGACCTGGATATACTTGGTGGGTAATGCGGGAAGATGGGGAAGTCCGATGTATACCTCAAGGGGATTTGATTTTAGGGGAAAACAGCCAGTGAACTCAATTGTATGCTGTTGCCTGCTGTGTAATGCTTTTATAGCCCATCAACTAGATGTCTCCAGGTCACCAGCGACTGGCCCTGACTTCCCTCCAGCCATCATCCCAACAGAGAATGAACTTGGAACATCATGGACCGAATGGACTCAGCAGCATTATAGGGATTGGTCCATGCACTAAGAAAATGATTTTTTCCTCTTGGTCTGTATGTATATGGATGTATATATGTGGGAGAGCGATGGTGTATTGAAAATGTGGGATCTGAGCACGACGTGAATGGTATGGAATAAGGGGTGGATAATGTCCTGGGTTCAGCAGTAGCAGTCATGTTTTTTCCTTTGTGTTAACTGGTGCAGTGCTGTGTTTTGACTTCTAGTTTGAGAACAGTGTTGGTGAAGCCGATGTTTTCGGTTGTTGCTAAGTGATGTTTACCCTGACCAAGGACTCTGTGAGGCTCATGCTCTGCCAGGGAGGAGGGGAGGCTGTGAGGAAGCAGAGACGGGGCGCCTGACCCGGGCTAGCCGGGGAGGTATTCCATACCACAGCACGTCATGCCCGGGGTGGGGGGTAACTGGGAGTTACCCGGAAGGACAGGGGCTTCCGGGTGGAACTCGCTTTCTTGGCCGGTGGTATCGTATTCTCTTCTCTTGTTATTTTCCCTTATCATTGTTTTAGCTGATAGTAGCGGTGGTGATTTGTTGCTGGACTGTTCTTGTCTCAACCCGTAGGAGTTGCACTCTTTCGATCCTCCTCCCCGTTCCTCCGGGAGCGGGGAAGGGGAGAGCCCCGGTGCTGGGGGGGGGGAGACGGACACGGACCTTGATTGTTGTCAGCTCGGTACCACTCACTGGGAGTGAGTGAACAAGTTACCTGACTGGGTTTAAACCACGACAATGAGGAAAGCCAGTAGACCCAAATTACTGTTGAAATTGGAGTGCCTTCAGAGTCGGCACTTTTGATGACATAGGCATATACTTCTCATGAATTTTAAGATAGATGTTGTGGTGGCCCATTGTGCTGGAGTAAGGACAGGGCTATCATTAGGGATATGTTGGAAGTTGCATCAACTGATGGAATCGAGCATCATCAAGGCTGAGGAAATTAAGTTGGAGAGCCAAGCAATATATCACTGATACATAGATGGCCTCTCAGTTCTGAGCCCTTATTCACTGCCTTAAAATATAGATTAGAGATTATTACTCCTTTTAAACTTGAGAACTCCGTGTGTGTGGTGGACTTGTAGGGACCAGGGTGTTGCCAGCATGTGATGTTTTCACTCACTGATGCAACTGTCTGTGTGGGGTTTTTTTGTTTCTTCCAAATGAAATTTTTCAGGTAATTTAGTTTCACAGCTCAGCATTTTGAAATAATGATTGCATCTGTAAGGCCAGGATCTGTGCAGAAATAGCCTGCCCCTGCCTTGGTGTGGGTCCTGGGGGGGGCAAGAGAAGCCTCAGCCTATCATTTCCAGGGCTTTTCCAAGTCAAAAATCATGATACCTCAGGAAGATGATGTTTCATGTGAACCTTGGGTGGAAGTCACCCACCTCCACTCCAGTAGGACCTCATCAGGGGATGGCTGCCTCCCACACACCTCCTCATGCCCAGATGGCAACTCACCCAGGTTGGTGGCCTGGGGGCAGGAGAAGCCCCAAGTGGCTGAGGTAAAATGAAGCTCAGGAGCTTTGTGATCAGTTTTAAAAAAAAGAAAAGAAAACCAAACTATTGAATTTCAGTGCTGCTGATTTCATTTCAACCCCTCCCTGGCCTCATCCCAAGGATGTGGATATGGGTAGGTCTCCATTTTCCAAAGGAGGGCATCAGCAGTGTGGGTCATGGCCACTGCACGCTGTGTGGCTGGGAGGCTGCTGTGAGGAGGAGGTGGAACCGATTCGTTCCCCAAAGGCTGTTTATGCTTTCAGCTCTTTTCTCAGGCTAAAGAAACCAGGAGTCACTTGCTCGCAATATGTGCAGCTCCACCACAGATGCATGTTTTCATTTTCTCAGTCCACAATTCCTGGAAATCTCTCCTTTCCTTGAACAAGGCTAGTCCATGTCCACGACAGCTGAACTGTCCACAGGATTTATGTCCCTGATTGATTACTTCTCAGACAGTGGACCATACCAGCTTCATCATTATTGCCTATTCCAGAAAAGCCACATACCCATTTGTATATGTGCATGAAACATCAATTTGCCAATAACATGTATGCATGTTTGCTGGTCACTAAATAATGGTCACTAAATAATGCACCATGGACTTGGGGGTGTTAAGCATCAAGATCTGTGAGGGATTATTTTTTAGAGGAAAACGATTCTCACCAGGAGGCTGAGTTGCACCATTCATCCATTGAAAAAGAATATTTTACTTGTGGTTTAAATTGAAAATCGATAGAATATGTTTCCTTAGCAATTTTGCATTTATAGATATTCAGAAATATTTATAAATATTTTTGTTGTGTATAAAGTGGGAAAACAAAACTTGTTTACAGTGCATGAATCTAAATGCAAATTTGGCTCAAGTATAAGAATACTTTATAAAGGCTCCTAAGCCTTACAAGGACATTGGTTAAGAAGAGTTGTCATTCACTGTACAAATAAAAAGTTGCAGCCAGGGTTTATGAACGGTTGGATAAACTATTTTTTTCCCCCTATTTGTTTTCTGCTACTTTCCAGGTTTATGACAGGCCACAAAAATATTCTGCTCTGCACTATGAACTGGGCCTCCAACAAAACTTCACCAGTGACACCTTAAAATCAAAGCACCAGCAGATAAGTAGCAACCAGCACCATCTTGACTGGTCAGCGAGCTCCAATTCTGGATCTGCTTCTCAAAGTTTCTTCAACACAGAACCCAGTCAAGAAGCAGTTAGTGCCATCAAGGTCTCCACCTCAGAGCCAGTAGTTTCCTTCAGCAAATCCCAAGCAAAGAAGTCCTGCACCAGCAGCACATGGGGGAAGCTGTCAGCCAGTAGTAAGGAGCTTGCTATTTGCAGTGCAGTCCCATCACCCAACAGCATCAGTATGGCTGCCCAGCCAAGCAGCTCCTCCGAGTGCAATTGGCTTTTGACTCTCAATGATCAAGAGGGAGGTGTGCAGCTGGAGGTCTCCGATCAGCCCACTGGGAGTGCAAAGTCCAGCAAAAAGGACTTACTAAGTCAAACCATCCAAACTGCAGACAACAAATGGGTGAAGAGTGCCCAGAAAGCATTTGACAGCAAATCCCATGACAACATGGAAGGGAAAAAGGAGTCTTACTTGATGGACAGAGTGTTAGATACATCACCCTCTAAGCAGAATCCCACTTCTGCTAGCAGTTGTGAAAGTGACACCAGTCATGTACGAATTACTATCCCAATAAAGTCTTCAACAACAGATACATATGGCCACAAAAGGAAAAAAAGGCAATCCACAAAATCTTCCAAAGAGAAAACTATCCAGGAGAAAAGCCTTCATCCTGGACTTGCTATGATCAGTAAAGAAGCAAATAGGACTAGCTCTCAACCAGAGAGGAGTAAAAAAGATCTTCGAGCCACAAAGCCAGGGAAAATGATTGAAAATGAACCCCCCTTAGTATCTATTGACAATGGTGTGCTCACTGACAAAGTTTCCCCTAACAGTGCTATCAGACTCAGAAAATCTGTAGCTGTGACATCCACTCTCCTACCCACCAATCATTCCACATCTGACAAATTATATGAAGTCCAGCACCCCAAACATGCAGGTAAGTGGCGATGGACCTGCAGCAAACCTAAATCTATCCTTCGGGAGACCTCCATGATGACATCTGAGAAGCTGATGGTGGAGCCTCCTTCAGCCTATCCCATCACACCATCCAGCCCTCTGTATACCAATACAGGCAGTCTTACCGTGATCACACCTGTCAAGAAAAAAAGAGGACGACCAAAGAAACAGCCTTTGCTCACTGTTGAAACCATTCACGAGGGAACCTCCACCAGCCCAGTGAGTCCAATCAATTATGAATTTCCAGGAACAAAGAAAAGGAAGAGGAGACAGAATCTGGCCAAGTTGGCCCAGATGGTCCCAAGAGAGGACAAGTCCATCAGTGAACTCAAGTTTCACAAAAAGGTTGGGAAGCTTGGGGTCTTGGATAAGAAGACTATCAAGACCATTAATAAAATGAGGACCCTCAAGAGGAAGAATATTCTTAATCAGATCTTGTCCTCCTGCTTCAGCAGCATAGCTCTGAAAGCAAAAGTCCAGCCACCATCTAGTGTGGGGCCAACCACCACTGATGCCAGACTAGGGAAACAGATCAATGTCAGCAAGAGAGGGACTATCTACATTGGTAAAAAACGGGGCAGAAAGCCAAGAGTAGAGCTGCAGCCTCAGCTAGAAGAACCTAAGACAGCCATCAAGCACTCAAGGCCTGTTTCCAGCCAGCCAGAAAACCCAGCAATACCTTCCAACCTGCAGTCACTTGTGGTGTCATCACCAGCAGCTATTCATCAACTTTCAACACAGTTAGTTGGGACTAATGGCAACCTTAGCCCTGCAAGCACTGGAACAAATTTTTCAGAGTTAAAAACTATGCCAAATCTTCAACCTATCAGTGTTTTTCCTACAAAAACCCAGAAAGGAATGCACTGTGGAACTTGGAAGCTGTCTCCACCCAGGTTAATGGCAAATTCACCTTCCCACCTCTGCGAAATAGGTTCTCTGAAAGAAGTCACGCTGTCGCCAGTGAGTGAATCTCACAGTGAAGAAACCATACCGAGTGACAGTGGAATAGGTACAGACAACAACAGCACTTCTGACCAAGCTGAGAAAAGCTCAAAATCCTGCCGGAGATACTCCTTTGATTTCTGCACCCTGGACAACCCAGAGGCTATCCCATCTAACACCAGCACAAAGAACAGGCATGGTCACCGGCAGAAACATCTGATTGTGGATAACTTTCTTTCTCATGAGAGTATTAAAAAGCCAAAACACAAGAGGAAAAGGAAAAGCCTGCAGAACAGAGATGACCTCCAGTTTCTGGTAGACCTTGAGGAACTCATCAGTAAGTTTCAAGTGTTCAGGATTTCCCACAGAAGTTACACATTTTATCATGAAAATCCATATCCCAACATCTTCAGGATTAATTTTGATCACTACTACCCTGTGCCATATATCCAGTATGACCCATTGGTCTATCTTCACAGGACCTCTGACATGAAGTCTAAGAAGAAACGTGGTAGACCTGCTAAAACCAATGACACCATGATGAAGGTGCCTTTTTTACAAGGGTTTGGTTACCCTATTCCCAGTGGGAGTTACTATGCACCCTATGGAATGCCTTACACATCAATGCCTATGATGAATCTTGGTTACTATGGTCAGCATCCAGCTCCTTTTTACCTGTCTCACATGCTCAGAGAGGCTCCCCAGTTTATGAGACCAACCATGCCCCCACCCCAATTCCATGCAAGCTCTCATATGAAGATGTCCACCACTGCCAAGCATAAAGCAAAACATGGAGTGCACCTACAAACACCTGTGGGAGTGGGCTTTGGAGACATGCAGTCCTCTTTGGCTCCTCCAGGGGTTGGAGGAACAAGCCTTTCAAGTGGCCAGCTTCACAAAAGGAATCACAGACATAAGCACAAGCATAAGGGTGAGCGAATACTGGGGACAGATGAAGATCTGAGTGGCCTCTTTGCTAGCAAGTCCAGTGGCTTCTCCAGTCATGTGATCAACGAAAGGCTAAGCAGCTCAGATAAAGACCTCTCCTTGCTCAATGAGAAAAGCAAGCATAAGGAGAAGCAGAAGCACCATCATTGTGAAAACAGACACAAAGGTTCAAAGAGTAACTTTGAAGAGGATAAGCTGCCTACATTATCACTTTTTCATGCCCAGCAGATGACACAGAGTAAAGATAAAGGTGACTCAAGCAATGATCCTGTTGACTCTTGCACAAAGAGATACACTGGTAATACTGAGAGTAATGGAAGGTCAGAGTCCTTGGACATGTTTGGCGAAATGAATTCCTCAAGTGAGAAGTGGGACAATGATGCAAGTGGGAATAAAAAAAGAAACTTTGAAGGGTTTGGAACTTACAGGGAAAAGGACATTCAGCCCTTCAGGGTAAACAGGAAGGACAGAAGTACTAGTACTTACAATTCTTCAGCCTCTTCAGGTAAGCTCTACTTTATTCTATTTTACTTTACTGCACTTAAAATTTCATGTTGAACAAAGAGGGACTTGCCATTTACAGAAAATATGTTTATGAGTCAATAACTTCTCTGGCTTTTTGTAATTGGCTCCCATTCTGCATCCAAATTTTGGGGAAATTTGCTTTGTCCATGAGGAAGATGAAGCAGAGGTGAAGTGACTATGTAGACCAGCCAGCAAGTCAATGGCTAAGCAAAGCTAAAATTCAGGAATTTTGTCCAAGTTTTCCAGTGTTTCAGGGTTGGACACTTCCTTGCATAGCTCTGAAGAGAGTAACTGAAGACACTGGGTCCTTGTAATCACTGAAGGAGAGCAATCATGTAGTTGGACACACCTGTACTAAGTGCTAAAATTGTTAGCCATTCCTAATTAAGATTGGCACTGTGCTTTCTGCTAAAAATATATCCCCATAATGGGTATACCCTTAAACATATTTAAGAGGTAGCTGAAAAGGTTTTAACAATGTGTCATGGATTAAACCCAGCTGGCAACTAAGTACCACACAGCCACTCGCTCACGCCCTGCTTCCACCATCCCCGGGTGGGATAGAATCATAAAATAGGGTTGGAAAGGACCTTAAGATCATCTAGTTCCAACCCCCCTGCCATGGGCAGGGACACCTCACACTAAAACATGTTACCCAAGGCTCTGTCCAACCTGGCCTTGAACACCGACAGGGATGGAGCATTCACAACTTCCTTGGGCAAGTCATTCAAGTGCCTCACCACCCTTACAGTAAAGAAAATCCTCCTTATATCCAATCTAAACTTCCCCTGTTTAAGTTTTAAACTGTTACGCCTTATCCTATCACTACAGTCCCTAATGAAGAGTTCCTCCCCAGTATCCTTATAGGCCCTCTTCAGATACTGGAAGGCTGCTATGAGGTCTCCACGCAGCCTTCTCTTCTCCAGGCTGAACAGCCCCAACTTTCTCAGCCTGTCTTCATACGGGAGGTGCTCCAGTCCCCTGATCATCCTCGTGGCCCTCCTCTGGACTTGTTCCAACAGTTCCATGTCCTTTTTAAGTTGAGGACACCAGAACTGCACACAATACTCCAGGTGAGGTCACACAAGAGCAGAGTAAAGGGGCAGGATCACCTCCTTCGACCTGCTGGTCACGCTCCTTTTGATGCAGCCCAAGATACGCTTGTCTTTCTGGGCTGCAAGCGCACACTGCCGGGTCATGTTCATTTTCTCATTGCCCAACACCCCAATTCCTTCTCCACAGGGCTGCTATCAATCTCTTCTCTGCCCAACCTGTAGTTGTGCCTGGGATTTCTCCGACCCAGGTGTATGACCTTGCACTTGGCATGCTTAAACTTCATAAGGTTAGCATCAACCCACCTCACAAGCGTATCAAGGTCCTTCTGGATGGCATCCCTTCCCTCCGGTGTATCAACCGAATCCCACAACTTGATGTCATCAGCAAACTTGCTGAGGGCGCACTCAATCCCATTGTCCATTTCACTGACAATGATGTTGAACAAGACCGGTCCCAACACCGATCCCTGAGGGACACCACTCGTTACTGGTCTCCAGCCGGACATTGAGCCATTGACCACAACTCTTTGAGTGCAGACATCCAGCCAGTTCTTTATCCACTGAGTGGTCCATCTATCAAATTGATGTCTCTCCAATTTAGAGACAAGGATTTTGTGGGGGACAGTGTCAAATGCTTTACACAAGTCCAGGTAGATGACATCAACTGCTCTACCACTGTCCATCAGTTCCGTATCCCCATCATAGAAGGCCACCAAATTGGTCAGGCAGGATTTCCCCTTAGTGAAGCCATGCTGGCTGTCACCAAGCACCTTGTTGATTTTCATGTGCCTTAGCATGCCTTCCAGGAGAATCTGCTCCAAGATTTTGCCAGGCACTGAAGTGAGACTGACTGGTGACTAATTCCCCGGGTCATCCATTTTCCCCTTCTTGAAAATGGGGGTTATATTTCCCTTTTTCCAGTCATCGGGAACTTCACCTGACTGCCATGATTTTTCAAATATGATGGACATTTTTCAAATATGATGGGATGGGGATGAGAATCAAAAGACTGTAAAACCTTTGGGTTGAGATAAGAACAGTTTAATGATTAAAATAAAGCAGAATACGCTACTACTGCTAATAAAGGAAATAACAAGAAGAGAGATATAAAATTAAAAGGGGAAAGGGAAAGAAACCCCAAACAATAGACAACAGTGATGAATAATACAATTGCTCACCACCTGCTGACCAGCCCATCCCAAAGCTGCAATTGACCCCTGCCAGGTAATTCCCCCCAGTTTATGTACTGAGCATTATGTGCTGTGTTATGGAGTACACCTTTAGCTAGTTTGGGTCAGGTGTCCTGGCTCTGCTCACTGTCAGCTTCTTACTAAAGCCCCATTTGAGGGACCCAGGGAGAGAAATTTGGCTAGGCATTAAGCCAAAACCTTTAAAAGTTAGTTGTAGTCAGTGATAGTTATTGTGCAGTCTTTGGGAGAACAGCCATGATACCAGTCATTGAATCTCTGCTCTGGCCCACAAAGTGTACAAAAGCCATCACAAAGTGTACAAAAGCCATTTGTTGATGGGTTGGAACAGATGTGTTGCAAGTTGTGGATCTGGGTCAGTGTCCTATGACTGGTGTGGTGTACTGCTGATCCAGAGGGATGCGCCATGGTGATAGCTGGGCTGAATGTATGGAGACCCTGAGTACAGTCCTAGTGTAAATCTGTTACTTCCAGCCAGCAGATGTCATGTAAAGTAATTATCTTGAGCACTGACTGGCTGTGGGAAGGGACTGGTGTCATGGAAACATTAAACCCTAGCCAATTTAGTCTGAACAGTTTTAGGACTCATGACTTGGAAATATAAACTGAATAGATGAGGAGAGAGGAGGATCCCTTTGACTGCTGAGGACATCTGTTCCTCCCCTGCAGAGAAAAAAAAAGGAATCTGAATCTTGTCTGAGAGACTGAATTGTACTTTACAATATGGAGCTGCTTTCATGATGACACAGAGGCAGGTGTTTTGCTGCAATATAAATGAATTTAGCTTGGGAACAAGCCCAGAGCTCCTACACCATCAGATATTTATGCAAAGCAGATTGTATACTTGGTTCTAGAAAAGAGTGAGCTTTACTGAACCAGCTCAGTAAAGGTGGATTTGATTCTGACATGCTAAAAAAGAGCTTCAAAGAAGCTAGAAGATTAGTCCAGTGGCATCAGTCTGGCCTATAGGCAAGGATACAGCAGAAGGTGTTTCATATCCTAGCATGCCATAGTGATACTGTCACTTGGGCATATCTTAAACTGAACTTAAAAGTTGTGTGCACCAATCATTGACTGGGTTGACTCCCTCCTTCCACTCCCTGAAGCCAGAGCTACACCTCATGCATTTGCAAAACACTGAGGAACCTCTGGCACTCTGTGACCCCAGGCTTGGTGGCTGATCCTTTAATCTGCTCTCTAGTAGTTAGTAAAGCTCCAGGTGAGGGACCCAGGGAAAGGCCACAAATTGGTGCCCCAGCTGGGCTGGGGAGATGGAGAGATGTATTTTAAAGAGGTCCTCATAGCAAACTACATGTCTCCTTGTCATGTGTCTGCCTGCTTCACTCTCATATGTGATGCTGAAGAAGAGACTTGTGTTGCTGATAAGCAGTCTCGATGCCATAGCTTGTGCCATGGAAAAATGCAGGAATAATTACCTCTTCCCTATTTCCTTAGGTGGACAAATAAGGAAAAGCACATTTAATATTTTAAGGTGCATAGCTAAGATGGCAATTTGTGCATACAACCTGTTTGATCATGTCCTAGTTAGAACCATTGAAGGCCAGGGTGTAGCTGGGGGTGAAGCAGAGGTCAAAAGTCACCATATGCAGGTTGTATTTCTGCTTAACTTACCTACAAGCCCCCTCCCGCCTTCCCCCCTTAACATCCAGCAGTGCTACAAGACTGAGTTCTGATTTGACCTTTCCTCCTCAGCTAGTCTGTATGGTTCTGGTTTAACTCTGAAGGAATCAGTACCAGCTTTAGATGGAGGATGGGCATCACAGTGAGTAGTGTTTGGCCCTATGACTTGAGTGGGAGAAGAGGGGCTGTGTCATGCATGCATACATATGCCAGTTACGATTATTAAATGCACAAATATTTGTTATATTTGTTTATATATGAATTATCTAAAAAGTGCCCTTGTTCCTGTTAAAAAGCCTTACATTGGGTGATTATACCTTCCAAAAGGACAGTTAGGAGGAATACTGGAGGAAGGGAGAAGTGATAATTGAATGAACAGCATTCATCTGATGTCAGTACAAACACACATACAAGTAACCATGCTCTGTTGAGCAGTGTCATCTATCCAGATGAGATTTCTTCCCTGACAAAACTCCCCTCAGTTTCCTGCTGGAATAGGCAATTGCCGCACAACACTGAAAAAATATCTGGTTCATCCTCTCTCAGAAGTCAAATGTAATTTAAAACAGAACTTGCTATGAGCAAAACCAAATACAGCGAAACACTGGCAAGGCCACCACAAGTTTTGTTTTGGCTTGAGGTGGGTGTTGTCTGTTGGGTTTGGCTTTGGTTTGTTTTTTCTTTTTAAGAAACAGCATATGCAGTTTTGGACTACTGTGTATGGATAATTGGCCAGTTATACACCGAGAAAGGATCTGTATTTCAATAGTGGGTAAGCATATATGTTCTTCTGAATGTATATGGAAGACGCAGGCAAATAGGGTTAGCCAACTGCCTTATTAAACAAACTTTTCTGATTTTTGTATTTGTCATGGTTTAAGCCCAGCTGGTAACTGAGAACCGCACAGCTGCTCACTCAACTCCACCCCCTTCTTCCCCCCCACTCCTAGAGGGATGGGGAGGAGAATCAAAAGAATGCAAATCCCATGGGTTGAGATGAGAACAGTCTAGTAACTAAGGCATCATACAAAACCACTACTACTACCACCACTAATAATAGTAGTGATAAGGGAAATGACAAGGGGAGAGAATGTAAAACTAAAAGGGAAAAGGAAACAATAAACACAAGTGATGCACAATACAATTGCTCACCACTCACCAACTGATACCCAGCCCAACCCGAGCAGCGATCTTGGGCCTTCTGGGTAACTCCCCCCAGTTTATATACTAGGCATGACGTGCTGTGGTATGGAATACCTCTTTGGCTACTT